GCCTGCCTCTGGGGAAGGGGAGGGGTATTGGGTTGGGGAGCTGCCTGGCTCTGGGGGAGGGAAAGGGGATTGGGTTAGAGCAGGCAGGGTGCCTAGGGAAGGGGAGGGGAAGAGCAGCTAGTGCACTTCCTGAGACCCAGGATCCCCAGGTACTAGCCCCAGCTGTCTCTGTCCCCTCCTCCTGGCCAGACCACCCCATGAGTACCCTGCCCCAGCACCCAGCCCCGTGCCCCCACCAGCACAGTTGGGGCCACATTACTGAGTGTTGGGGGGGGATATGGAGCAGTTGGTTTTTTGCATCTCACTTGTGTGGCCCCGACTGACTTTTCGGTGGGTCAGTGACTCCTGACTCAAAACAGGTTCCCCGCCCTTCTCATAAATAAAGACAATGCTGAAACATTTAGCGTTTGACGTAATACTTTATATAAAAATGAAGCCTGGCCAACAAGCTCCCAATTGGGGCCAAGCCCCCATCTTAGTGCAGCATAACACAACACTCCTAGCCCCCCCAGACCTCAAATCTGAGCCTATCATACACTGGAACCCCCTGTCCTGAGCCTCTCATGTTTCCAAACTCCTGCACCCCCACATCTCCAGTCGTCTGCCACAACACTCCAACACCATCCACACACTGCAAATCTTTGTCCTGAGCCCATCATACTCCCAGCCTCCCTGCCCTGAGCCCCTCCCAGCCTCCCTGCCCTGAGCCCCTCCCAGCCCAAAGTCCTGCACCCTCACAGCCACAAGCCTGTGGCTTTCTCAGCACTGCAATCCTCCACCTGACCCCGACACTCTCCAACCTGGAGCCCCCTCCCTGAGCCAGCATCCTCTTCTCTACTTCTTCCTGCACTCAAATTCCCTCCCAGAGCTTGTACCTCTCACCCCTCCCCAGTGCTTTTTTGTGAGCCACAATAGCAGTGGAGAAGGCATGAAGAGCCAGGGCAAAGGCAAAGACCCAGGGAAAAGCTGTTAAACAAACAACAACAAAAGCAGTGCCCTGGGACGTTTGTACCAGCACCTATTTTCCCCCAGCGCGATGCTTTGCTTTCCCTCCCCCCCCCCCAACAACTTTGCCCCAGCTCTTCATGCTGTTTCCACTGCTATTGTGGTTCTTTGGCCACCCCTGCTCTATTACTTTTCCAACAGATGCCTGGGTAGCTATACAGGCAGTCCCCGAGTTACGCGGATCCGACTTATGTCGGATCCGCAGTTACGAACGGGGCCCTCTCCCTGGTCTCCAGCAGACCAGGGAGAGGAAGCAAAGCGGCGGAGCACGCGGGCAGTGGACAGCCCAGACATCCGCTGCCCGCATGTTCCGCGGCTTTGCTCCCCGTCCCCCTGGTCTGCAGACCAGGGAGACGGGGAGCAAAGCAGAGCAAAGCCGCGGAGCCCGAGGGCAGCAGGACA